TATTTCAATGCCACCAGAGAACTAACCCGGGTCCTCCTTCTCTATGATCACGGTATCCATTGGTATTTTAGCTATCATTGCATTGAATTCTGCTCTTGTGTGTTATTTTGTCTTGCAGGTCTTTCAGCAAATGCCAGGCACATCCCTGGATCACTACAGCAAAAAGATAGCCCACTCTCAGGTCAGGTGTTCTTTTCACTCGCTTTGGTTCTTAAAACTTTTGGACAGCAATTTTCTATTTGTTACAAAATCTGGTCTGATTATAGTTAACCATATTAAACATTCCTTGTATTCATCTTCATGCCTTTGTGCTCTGTCTAGGACGATATTTTAGAGTCAGTTGTATCATCTCTCACAAATTGTGTTCATCACAATTTTGGACTGCTTAATACATGCCATACCATTGTAAGACGTGTATTGTTTCTTTTTGTAGGATCGTTCTCCTCAATATTCCCACAATTGGAGGAAGTAACTGAGATGCTAATCTTGTAGAGAAAAGTCCTGTGTCAATCATTTCCTAGCCTTATTAAATGCATTTTATTAATGAATTTGAAGCTCACATACATAGGAGGTCACGCGAATCGCTTTACTTCCCCTCCCCCCCCTCCCTTTGATGATGCAAGGGTCTTGACATTTACAGTGCTTCTTTCTCTTCTCACATTGAACAAGTTTCATTGATGGAAGCATTCATTGCCTTGGACATTAGGCGGTTCGTTAATGTATATTCTCCGGACTCCTAGTATATTAATCAAATCACACCCCGTGGATATATCACCAACATATGTAATGTGGCTTTCCATATTAAATGTAAATGGCGGTTATATTCAAATTCTAGTGGTGGTTGGTTAATTCCATCCAAATCCACTTCTTCGGTTTTTCCCACTCCAAATCATTGTGGTAACAAATCTTTTCCATGTCAACAACTTGGATTGAATCACATATTTTTCAAAAATAAATTATTAAGATTAAGGTTTCATTTTTGTGGTGTAACCTAATTATTAAATAAAAATTAAACTATTTATCTATTCTTATGAAGGATTATAATGAAGTCAAGCATTGAAATGTTCAAACTTAAACTTGAGACTTGAACATTAATCTTGAATTGCGCTTAAGTTTTATAGAATAGTTCTATAAAATCATAAATTATGAGTTGTTAGCCACATATTCGTAATCCTATTTAATAAGAGTCTAGTATTTTGTAATTTGAATTATGAAATACTAATTATAGATCATCAACTATTAATTAAAGAGATTTTAATAGTTATTGCAAATATAGTTTAATACACCCATGAGCGGGTGGATGAGTTGGCTGGGACTCTTCCAGCTTAATCAGAGGTCTTGAGTTCAAGTTCTGGGAATGCAGCCCCATTAAAATTCATGAGGGAGAGTTTTGCCACCGATTGGGTCCTGCCCGGCTCGAATCCGGATTAGTCAGTGGCCCAATGGGCTTCTAGATACCGGATGGTCATACCAAAAAAAATATAATTTAATATAATTCAGTTTATAAAATACTGATATCCCAACTAACTACCCTAAGCCAATTCCTAAGATATAAAACTCATTCTTTTCCTTTATAAAAACGTGAATGAAGTTTTCAATATATATGTATAATCTGTTATGCAAAATAAAACAAAGATCAACTGCAATCTTGCAAAAAAAGTGCAGAAAAATAAAAGAGAAGGAAGAGAATATCAAGCCGTGATTTATAGTGGTTCCTCCAACCCAGAGTACGTCCACTCCCCAAGCCTCCTTACTCGAGAGTTCAATCCACTAGAAATCTCTTGCTTACGGGTGCAAAATTAAACCCTCACAAGTGAATCTCAACTCACTCAACCCCTTCAAGGATTAACCCAATCCAAGAAGAATACAAAACCCTTGTAAGACAATATACCCAAAAGCTCACAAGAAGAAAAGAAGAAGGAAACCCAGAACAATTTCAAACCCTTGTTTCTGTAGCAGTTTGTCCCTCTTCTCTATGTTCTCCAGATCTGAATTTTTTATCATTATAATAGGGGATTTTGGAGCCTTGCAATTAAAGTCTATTTAGTCCTTCAAAGCCACCTCACAAATGCTCCAATTAGATTCTACCTCACTTTATTATTTTTGACTTGACTTTGGAGACAATGATTCCCCCAAGGCACATTGAGAATAAGAATAAATGGATAGATGAGCTGTCAAAATTTACCCTTCCAAAATTTTTGCTTCGAAGCCAAAAATATTACTTTGAACCATTTTCGGAAAACAAGAGTCTAAGATTGATTCAAACCAAAATAAATTGGTTCGAACCCAAAACTCTGAATAAGGAGGAACATAAATTAATTCTAATTGTGAGAAAAGATTAGAAATCTTGGATTAATTTTCCTACACACTTAGCACAAAAATAAATTAAATTATTTTAAATTATGGTTTAAAATCATCGTCAAAATACAAAGAAAACCTAACAAATACATTTTTTGAATTTAATAAATATAAAGACACTATTTTACAAACACTCCCCCTACACAAGGGGAAAAAAAATTCATAATGTAAAAGAAAAAGGAAAGAAAATCTCAAATTCATCATGCTCATGCCTTCCCTTGAATCCTTGCAAGTGTACAACTGACGCATGCATCAACAAAATTTACGTCAATAAAATCCACCGAGAAGATTTGCAACCGATCGGAAATTCCCCTGGAAACGCACTGGGCTATAAACAGTCTTGCAAAACCATGAATGCGCCCGGTCACCGGCTTAACACACACCACCGGATTGTCTGCCTGTGGTGTTACCGTATTCTCAACCCTGTAAAAAAATTTCCTGGACGTCACCGGAGGCTGCTCCCCCAGATGTTTCAGGTTGCTCTCGAACTTGGTCCACGGTAAATCCGTGTCTATCCAGTTATCCTTCAAATAACCTGCACTCCACAACGGCCCCCCTGGCTTTGGCTGCGGTGAGTTTCTCGGTTTCCAAATGCAGATGATTCTCTTGGGCAAAATTTCAGCGATTGTTTTCTCGAATATGTGATCGTCCTGATGGATCAAGAACTCCCCGAGCTGCTCCCCTAGATATCTCTCGAAATTCGGCGGGTCCTGATGTCCAAACTCTGTTCGGACCTCCAGAATTATAATCTCCGACTCTGTTTCCGATAAAAATTTCTTTATGTCTCCAATCACGACGTCGACGCTGTAAGTCACCAGAATTCCATGGCAAACCCGGCGATCCTTCTGAACCCTGATATCCAGAACCCGGTTACCTCTGACGAGCTGATTGTATATCGAAAGAGATTGACATTGCGCAAAGGGGCGGGTGATGCAGGGGATTCCGATTTTGTTTGTAGCGGAATCATGAGTTCCAGGCCATACGATTTCGTTTATTCTTAGCTTTTCAGGGTTGAGACCCAACATCCAAGCTTTCCTGTCCGGCGGACGGTAGTCACAGCAGGGAAAGGTGTCGCCGCAGCTTTCAAGAAGATCGCACAGGGTCTTCTTCTCGGTCAAGATCGCCTTTCGCCTCTCCACCTGTTTGCAAACCTGAGCACCCATTTTCAATGAACAGTATCAGTGATCTTGTTAAAAATCTAAATGGAAAAGATAGGTTTAAAGGGTTTAGTTTATAAATGTCATGGAAACTGGAAGAGGGAATGTAGTTATGAAGCATGGTTAGAATTCTGAGGCTGTGGAAAATGCTGTTGTTAACTTGTTACTCTCTTTTTTTTTTTTTAATGAAACTTGTTACGCTGTTAGATGAATATAAGTTATTTTAACAATGATATATTTATGATTTATTACACCCTTGTGTTTAGGGTATATGATAATGATTAATTTATTACATATCTTTATTATAAATATATATAAATATATATATATATATATATATTTCAATTTTCCAACA